ATGTGAGGAATGGGGTGAGGCCGGCCCTGGGTCGGTGGATAGCGAGTACCTGAAGCGGGCGTCATACGCCAACGGAAGTTGGACAACGGTGGGAGGGGTATCGTCGGTGGCTTCGGCGGTGGGGGCGGGGGAGGTTAGTGCGGCAGGGAGTGGGAAGGGGGGCCGGAATACCCTGCACAAGGCGCCGCCTGTTTCGATGGCGCAGACGCAGACGCAGGCGCAGGGCCAGGGGTTGGGGTTGATGCAGCAGCAGCAGCAGCAGCAGAGTAAGCGGCCGGTGCCGGCGCCGCTGAACTTGCAGCAGCACGGGGGTGCTGGGGCGGGTGCGGGGCTGCCGCCGTGTGCGTTGCCCGTGTCGTTGGTCTCGCCCGGGTTTCAGTCGGACGCGGATTCGAGTACCGGGGGGAAGGGTGCCAAGGCGACGCTGTTGCAGAGGATGGGGCTAAGGAGGAAGTTTAGCGGGTTGGTGATGTGGGACAAGGACCGCGGCGGGCGGGAGGTTGGCGTGGAGGGGTGAAGGGCTGCGGCGTGGTTGGTTGGTTGGTGCTTGCGCTGTCTCAAACAAGAGAAGATCTGTCTATCCCTATGTATGATGCGAAGAGATACCCTGTATGTACATATGTGCCATCACTGGATAGCGGGGGGGTTGTTGTTCTTGGGGCTGGTTGGGGGACTGGACACAGGCGTAGGGAAGCAATTCCGTCAAGGCGCATTCTTTAGATAATGAACTGCATGAATGATGAATATAAAACCATAGTCATGGTATTTAATTCTCTTAAGCGTTGAAAAGCAATGTGGCGCTGCTGGTACAATTATCAACTGGCCTTCTCATGCTCCTTGAGGTGCACCGGCTGGCGCCCCGGCGACGACCACCTCCCTCTGTCGCTTATCCACGCCCAGCCACAGGAGGTCTGGACGACTGTAGTGGCCAACGACGTCCAAGAAGCCCCTTGTTGCCACCACCTTGCTAAGGTCCAGATCTGCAAACACGATGCCCTCGACCACGCCCGTCCCGTCCCCAAGAGGTTCCGTCAAGCGTCGTCCGTCCGGGGCGATGACACAGCTATGGCCACCGCCCGGTTGCGAGCAGACGATTCCTTCCTGCGTCTTCATCAGCTCGATGCTCTTTTGCGTGCACACCGCGGTGCTATGAAGCACAAAAGCTGCACTCTCGATGGCATAGACCTGGCTGAGCGCTTGACAACCCTCAGCCGACATACTCCACAGGCCGGGATAGTCGGGGGCCGGCATTGGCGCGATGGGCGGCCACATGGCCACATGGATGGCCTCGCCCTGGGAAATGGTGTGGTACTTGAGCAGCGGCTGCGTGTGCTCCCAGCAGGCTAGGCATCCGACCTTGATCTTGCCGTACTCGGGGCCGAAGTCGACCTCGGCGACGTTGTTCAGGTCACCACCGGATCCGTCGCCGAAGACGGTGCGCTCCATGTGGGTGGGCTTGATCTTGCGTCGGTGTAGGAGGAGCTCGCCCTGCGGGGAGATGATGGCCTGGGAGATGTAGACACTGTGGGAGGCGCTCTGCTCGGCAAAGCCGAGGACCACGGCAATGGACTGCTCCCTGGCGGCGGCCTTGACCAGGTCCATGGCCGGTGAGTGAACTGGCAGCGCATTGTAGGTGTATCGCGTCTGCAGCTCGACATCGACCGGGCGTGCCCTGTATTACATATTACCTACATTTAGAGGACAACCCGGAGACTCGACATGATGGAAGGGACTTACCAAATCCACGCTGGGTAGCCGGGAAGCCAGCATTCGGGGAAAGCGACAAGCTTTGCTCCATCTTCAGCGGCATCGGCGATAAGACGGCAGGCTTTGTCGATGGAGGCAGATAAGTCGAGATAGACGGGCTCCGACTGGATGACGGCAACTCGAATCGGCGTGACCATGGCGATAGGTTAATGATACCGGGGTACCCAGGTACGTGGGTTGGCGATCTCTTGAGTGCCCTGCGAAAACACGAATATCTGGTCCCGACTCGAATTCCCCTAACAGATAGGTAGGTACCTAGGTACCAGGGAGTTAGGTATCTAATTAGGCGAAACGACTGGAAAAGTCCCCCAATTTCCCAAAGTCTAAAGAAGGACGAGGTATGAACACCTGACGTAGTATTACCGTACAAACCTGGGGGTTTAAGTTATAAGTTTAGAACCCAAGTTGAAATGCGTTGGGATCGATCCAGGTTTTCAAGGGCGGCTGAGCGGGAAGGGTCCCTTGCTGTGGGTTGTGTGCGGAGAAGATGTGTGGTCATGCATCAGCCAGACGCGAGGAAGCAACACTGCCCGTCTTTCCCTCGAATCCTTTCCCCTCACGGCAGGTTGGTCCCTAACCACCACATATGCCGCACCACCAATGGTAGCTGAATGTAAAGTTCCGTACTGCCGTTGCTGTTAGTTAATGCGGTATCACACAAACTCGGATGGAAAGGACAACACGCGCGGAGGATCATACACTTTCTGTGGTTTCTCCCCTTACGTGGCTTAAGCGGCATGTGTGTGGTTGGTGGTGACCATATCCAAAAGGTGACACGAAGTCAAATATTATCATGGAATGATGTTGCCGATGGGTGCCCAGTGCACTGCCCACAATGATATGTGCCCAACGCCGAAGCTTCGCAGTTTGCGAGTTCCATGCGCTGCCTAGATGCTGCACATCGTATACAAATGGGCCAGTCAGCGCCCAGAAAGGGTAGTGCACATCAAATACATACATGTAGGCTTTCGGCGTTGCTCCAGGCCAACCAACTTCGTGTGATCTCGCCGACTCTCACGAGATACCTGCGCTTAAAGAACCCCGCTTCGAGGTTACACAGTGACACTTTGGAGGCTCTCGCATCAATTGTCGGCACAAATCATACCATTGGATGGTAGGATCGAGTTGGGTTCCGCGGCGAGGAATTAGTCCTCGAACATATAATAATCTGACGAGAACTTGAGAAGTCCAAGGACATTTACCAGAACTCTGACTCCCGGGAGTCACATCACCTCTCATGCCCACGCATCCCCATGGCCTCAACTTTTGACCATGCTTACCTCGGCGATACCAGAACATCTCCAGTGCACCCGCACTCGGCCAGCGCGTCTCCCCGCCGATTTCCAACCCCCTTATCCGTCATACAGTGTACGATTCCCCGAACATGCCTCCCAGCTGGTAATGGCCGTTATTGGTGCGCAATATCGGACGGCCTCGGATGCCGACGGAGCAGCCCAGTCTACGTTAGTGACGTTCCTGACATCCCTGAACAATCCTCCTTCGTTTTTCGAGTGGGCGTCCGTGACCGACAACAAAGGCTTCTACAATATCTCCGCTCTGGCCTACTGGCCAAGCAAGGCTGCCTACGAAACTTGGGCCGAACAGTCCGGGTTCTGGGAGTGGTGGCGGGCGCTTGAGCCTGAGGTCTGCCAGCACGGATGGTTCCTCGAGGTCTTCTTCCCGACCATGGGCCGCCTCGAGACTATCTTCAATACTAATGACTTTCCCGAGGGCTGTGCCCACATAAGGGAGGGTATGAGCGGAGAGATCCAGGAGCATGGCTACTGGGGCAGCATGCGCGACCGCCTTCCGGCTTCTCAGACCGACAGCCTTGCCGGTACCCTGGCCACCGCAGGGGACTTCCAAGGTCCCCATACATCCGAAATCGGTAGCCGAATTAGGATCCTCGGCAAGAAGAACCTGACCGTCATTCGCTCGGGACAAAACTGGCTCGACACAACCCCAGAAGAGCGAGAGCTGTACCTCGACACTATGCACCCAGTGTTGATCAAGGGCATGGACTTTTTGCGAGACCATGGCGACGAGGTTGGCTGCTATAGCTGCCGTTTCATGGAGATTGTTGACCCGATTACGGCAAAGGCCGACAAGGACCGGACTTTTGGGCTGGCCTATTTCGACGACCTTGGCTCGCTCGAGCGCTGGTGCAGAGAGCACCCAACCCACCTCGCCATCTTTGGTGGTTTCCATCAGTATGCGAGGAAACTCAAAAACAATGTCACCCTCCGCGTGTTTCATGAGGTAATGGTTCTTGAGCCGGAGCAGCAGCTCTTTGAGTATGTTGCCTGTCATCCGGGGACTGGGATGTGGAAGACGGGCAGTCAATAGATATTAGGTAGTTTTTGTTATTACTTCTGTGTTCCTCCGAGTCCCTTCCTGGCTCTTCTTACTTTTGTTCTGAGGAGCTAAGTTGTTCCGCCCCATAAAGTGGAAGGCGACGGCACCGCCAAATGAACCATCTTACTGCCCTGCCTCCCGAGGGACTTGGACTTCTTTGCGATTAAACAGAGCGAAGGGACCAAGGTACCCAGGTACCTTCCCGCGCTATATGTATTAGGTCTGCGAGCTTGATTTCCAACGAGGACCACCAACCACCTAACAGGTGGCCCAGTGGTTACTGGCGGTGGTCCTCTAAATCTCGGGCAGTAGTTCGCCTCTTCCATATTCAAATGGTTGTAGGTTCGAGCCCCCGGGGTTTCGGCGCAAATCGCAATTAGGGATTTCGTAACCGGACCACCCTCCCTCTCCCAGGCAGCTGACTTATCGCACCTAGCTGGTATCCAATTGAGAGGGGGCCTGGCCGGTGAGCTTTTGCTATTTTTTGACCACACTCGCTGTCACTACCCGCTGGAACAACCCCGTTGTTTTCGCTTAGCATCGTTGTCGGCATTGGTGACGCTAGGGTGATTTGTGACTTTGATCATCTAACCGGCAACTTAAAGCATCTCGGTAGCCTTAAAGGCCGCACTCTCAACACCCAAATTGCGTTACGGAGAGAGGCTCAACCTTTGACGGTTACTTACAAACGCACGCACCAAGCCATGTCCGCTACATTGTCACAAGGCTCTAACGAGCGTCACGAGGAGGGCTGCTTCGCGACAACGTTTGAGAGAAAGTACTACCACCGAGGGGGTGCCTTCATTAAGCGAAGCCTGCGGCCGAGGGAGTTCCGCACCAACCAGCGGGACGACATCCATATCCCACGCGCCAACGGGGAGCGCATCAAGAACGAGGCCGACACGCTACGCTACATCCGCGAGCACACCAACATCCCCGTCCCCACAGTGTACGCCGACTTTGAGGACGACGGCGCCTATTACCTTGTGGTCGAATACATTGAGTGTGTCTCCATGGCCGACTTGACGGAAGATCAAAAGGAGATGGTGGAGCTGGAGCTGGATGGGCATTTGAACACTCTCGAGGGTCTTCGATCGAACCGGATGGGCGGGCCTTCTGTGACGAACCTACTTCAGGACCCTGTCCTGTTAGGGTTCAGCTTCGGTTGAAGGTAATCTCTCAAGGGTGCTTAGGTTCGGTGCAGCCAAAGGGTGCACAACAAAGACTTGTCTCAACAGTGGGCTTTCGAGCTTGTAGCGAACTGTAGTTGTGATTGCTAACTGGAGAACTCCCAGAGCTCTCCAGAACGGGTGACTATATACTATCTAGGCTTCCTAGGTACCGGCGTACCTTTTGCTGGGAACGTGAGGAACGGTGATCGTTCCTCTCGTTCCAGACTGGATCCTGGGAACGGTAGCCGTTCCCTTCGTTCCTCTGCTGATTGGTCTGAGACCCATTCTTAATGATTGGCTGGGAACGCTTCCCGCGCGTGCCCTCATCGGGGCGTGGTACGCGACCATAACCGTGACACCTTCCGGAATTGTCATCCCGCCATATCGGGTCATGCGGCGGACGGAGAAGGATAGCTGGAACCTGCCGCCTTCGGGGAAGAAGGAATACGTTTTTTGCCACAACGATTTCTCCCAGCACGACGTCATTGTCGACCCGGACACATTGAAGGATAAGGCCATCGTCGACTGGGAGTATGCCGGGTTCCATCCCGACGACTTTGAGATGCTGTTTTACCAAAGGAAGGGCCCTTCGGTTGCTCTGCCGGGCGAGGTGGACGACTCAGCGGCGTTGCTCGAATTTCTCGAGAATCGAGACGAAACGCCTAGAGTGTAGGAAAATCACATTATGGCGTTGTCACAGTCAAGTTATTATTCGGCTGAGACAAGGAAACATCTGTATTCATTGCAAATAGCACTTATGTTCTTCTATTCGGGCGTTGGACTCCAGCCCAAACTTGATTAAGGACTACATATATTTTGGAACTTGACCACACCACTTGGTTGATGGCCCTCTCACTCAGTCCAAACCCGTGTTCTATGAGCAAGTATCACACCTGATGCCTGAAACAGTAAGGTAGCTTTCACTGATGAGTCGACTGGGCAAGAGTGCCTAGCGCAGTCGGCAAGCGTACGCATCTCGAAGACCTAGTGAGGTGCCTGAAAACAGCCGGGGCACTCAGTCTGGGAGGTGGAGGCCATGGTACCGCACTGCTTACACGCAACGATCTTGGAAGGCATTTTGAGAAAGGGCCTGGGGGTTAAAGCGGGATAACTGAATGATGGACCTTGGGTGTTCTGTTTAGGCAGGGGATGATGCTGAAAGATGCTGTTTTGACCTGAATGGTAAGAGTAAGTTGTCTGCATTCACTTAAATATCTTTATTTTCTCCTTCCTTGGCCGTTGATGTCAGAATTCTAAGTAGCAACCGCAACTCAACTCGCCATCAGCGCATGCTGTATTCATTGTGAGTCTTTGTAGATTGTGCCATTGTTACAGGGTTGCCCGATCTCTGTTCAGAGAGAACATTGATAGTTGTGAAAGACACCATACAGCGGCTTTATGGATCATATACCAGCGAAATTAGTGCCGGCACCGCCGTGAAGAAGAATAAAGCTAGGAAGAAAAATGTTTGGATTGTGATGTTTGGAAGTTGGGACAATCCCTGCAGCTCTTGGCCCAGATGCTGAAAAGTGGCGCTCCACAACAAATGGCCCAAGCTCCCTCTTCACGTCTTGATCGACCAAACGCGGCGAATTTTGAGCATCGCAATTGACTGAACTGCATCAACAGCAAATCCAGGCCCGCTAGACTACCCCGATTCGTGCGACGACGAACCCGACCTCAAGTCCGATTCTATTTCCATCAAAGCTTCCATACGTGTGGAATCGACTCAGTACTGCTTCCTCATCACCCACACCCCCGCGATCGCGGCCATGCAGCCCGTTCCCAGGACGCGGCGCGCGCCGCAAAACACCCAACATACGTATGCCTGCTATTGTTGCCCAGATGTACGCCTGGTTTACTAACCTGGGCCTCTTGAGGACGATAGATACTCGCTCGACCGTCGGATATACGATGTGAAGACATACCCTGTCCAGTCGCCCCAGGGAGCGACCATCCTGATTTACGGCCACGAGAATGGAATCACATTGGTTTGGCGCGGCGGTCGACGGCTCAAACCCCCAAAGCAGCCGGTTAACGATAAGAGGAATGGCGCGCACTCGAGCGATGCGGTCATGATTGTCGATTCGGATGATGAGGAGCCGGCGACCGACGCCCCCGTCGACAAACCGGAATTCCAAGACAGCCCGACCGTTGGCGGAGCGGTACCCGAAATCATCCAAACCCTCGATCTTGCCCTCGAAACTGCTGTTCTTCACGTGGCTGTCCTACCCATGCCGGCAAGCACTGCTGAAGATGCCGCCTGGAACGGCGCTGGCATTCTAAGGAATCAGATCGTGTTCGCCGTCACCTGCGCAACCGCCGATGTTTATGTGGTCACAGTGCCATTGACACCCCCTTCCCACGAGAGCAAGGCGAGGCCGGAACTGCGGAAGAGTTTGTTGGCAGGCAATGCAGGCACGGGCGTTTGGGGAGAGACGCTGACTCTGCTGACGGGGCCGAGTCGTCCTTCCGGCGGACTTGCGCTGACGCTGGTGAAGCAAAAGTCGGGGTCACGGAGCAGATCACTAGAACGCCCCGCGTCCCAAGCGGCGCCTGCTACCCGAGCAATTGTTGCAGCACATTCGCGTGAAGCTAGCGGCATATTGCGACTGTGGGATGTCACCTTGGACGCGAAGCCCGGGGTCATCAACCGCGTGGAGCCATTTCAGACCGAATACCTTCCGGCGCCGCTGACAAGCCTTACCTTCAATCCGACGCACATCACCCAACTTCTCGCCATCACATCCTCGCAAGCAGCCCGCATCTACGATTATGCTACCGCCGCGCTCCCCTCCGACGACGCCTCCGAGGGCCCATTCCCCACGCAAGGGTCATGGCTGTTGTCGCTCTATGCCCCTTTCGCTAGGGGGCCATCAATGTCGACCGCTCGGAAACCAATAGTGGGCGCTGAGTGGATTGCCCATGGCCGCGCCGTTTTGGCCCTCCTCGCTGACGGCCAATGGGGAATTTGGGATATCGACGGCGCCAGCCCTTCGGCCAGCGGCTCCGGCGGTCTCTTCAGCAAGGCGAATGCCGGACTGCGGGGCTCCGGAATCACAACCTTTTGCGTTTCGGGGCATCTGGAGGGGACCAGCCCACTTCGGAATCCCGGGACCCAGAAGACGCCTGCCGCGCCGGGGTCAGCAGGCGAGTTTGTGCCCATGACACCTCACACAAGGCGCGACGCCATTGTCTCAGCCGTGATGAGCGGGTCGGAGAGATTGGCGACCGTGCGTGGCGGTGTCACTGTCGCCCAGCTCACGCCGCAAGGAACCGATCCCGGTGATGAGAGTGCTGTGCTCTGGCTGGGGGGAACCGATCCTATCGTCTCCGTCATCCCCATCATCTCTCGATTCTGGGACTCCCAACTGCGCCGTGCAGTCGGCGGCGGCGTCAACCTCTGGAGCGGCGCCCAGCCCACCCGCATGCTCCGCCTCACGGACCTCGGAGCAGGGCTGCTTGGCGAGCGGTGCACCGGTGCAGCTGCTATTCCTAAAGTCAGCGGGATGTCCACCACCAACCACAGCTCCTCCACAGCAAGGGAGAGCACCGGCCCAAGCCACGCCGAGGGGCTACCCGTGGAGGTCCTCCTCCAAGGCGAGAGCCGCCTCGTAGTCGTTCACGAGAGCGAAGACACCGGCTCGCTCACCAACCGCCTCCTCGGCGCGCGCAAGAAGCCCCGCGCCGACCTCGGCCCAACCAGGGCTATCCTAGCCTACCCACCACCAGAGAGGACGACCAGCGCCAATGTGTCGTTCAACCTCAGCATCGCGCCGCAGCGCCAAACCGGCGGTCTGTTCCGGCCCCGCCCGCATCCGTCTGTGGGTGGGTCGTTCGAACAGTCCATGGAGGTGCTGCCGTCGACCGAGTTGCCCGACGAGACGCAGTCAGCACCGTCGAGCCAGCAGGGCCTGATGTTTATCAACGACCTCGACTATGCCGCCGACCAACCCGATGATGAGTTTGAGGTGGCGGGCCGCGATATCGAGCAGGAGCTGATGGATATCATGGATATCGACCGCGAGCTGGAGCAGCTGGAGCACGAGCGCGAGAAGGGGACGAAGAGGGTTTTCTTTGAGGGGGATTAGAATGGTGGGGGAGGGTGACGACCACCGGGAGGTGTCTGGCGAGGCTGTAGGATACCCATCGGGCTACTAATGTTCTCTAGCACGATCATGAGACGAAAATGAAGCATGTTTGAGTCAGCCAGGGGCAATGCCTCTGCAACGTTCCCGGTTTAATTATGTTTCATCCCGACCCCCTCCCCCTCCCAACACATCAACATTCCGCACGGCTTGGTGGAGCACAAGGCGAGATCCATCCTTGATCCAGCTCTGTATTCCGAGCGGTATAATGAACATGGCCCGATCTAGCTGCTAACGCGGCGGGTCGGGTCTGCCGGCATCACCCGAGCGGCTGCTGCGGCAGTGCGCTATTGCATTCTTGACCAAATGTTCTGCCCCGGCCTCGGTCTGTCTGCTCCTATCCTTGGATGGGGGGATGGGGTAACGAGGCTGGGGGGTCGTGGTGTCGGTACATTCCTTCTGTTCCTGGGTTCCGGCTCCTACTTTTGAAGTTTATGACTCCCATACATGTTGCACATCGCATCCATCCGCGCCAAACGCATGTCTCAATAAGTAATCACACCTTCCGCATTGCTCTTCAATTCCATGCCCTAGCATAGCAGCCAACCGGCATGCATTCACGAAGTACCCACTACCCCAGAACTCCTTAATACAGAGCATATCCTACACCCCCACCTCCCCTCCCTTCCCCAACCCCAAACCACCACTCAAACCCCTCTTACCTAACGCATCTTCTCCTTCACCTCCCCCGCCACCTCCCTCGCCTTCCCCTTCGCCTCCTCCTTCACCCCGCGCGCCTCCCCCGCCAGCTCGCTGGCCTTGCCCTTGGCCTCGCCCGCTACCTCGCTCGCCTTGCCCGCCGCTTCGCCCCGCAGCTCGGAGGCCCGCCCCGTCACTTTGCCTTCGGACACTTCGGAGGTGGCTTCTTTGATCTTGTTGGCGTAGGCGGCTGTTGGGAGCAGATTGTTAGGATGGGTTTTTTTAATTGGGTGGGGTGTGGTGGGGTGGGGCGGGGGACGTACTGCCGATGTTGATGCCGTCGACTAGCTTGTCTGAGACCTTGCGGTCAACGGACTTGAGTGTGTCCTTGGCGGCGTCGACGACTGGGGTTTTTTGGTAGCGGGTGGTGGTGGTGAAGGCGGCGCGAGAGAGGGTGGATGTGGTGGTGGTGGTGGTGGTGGTGGTGGTGGTGGTGGTTGCCAGACGCCGGGTGATGGCGGCGGTTCGTGATGTGAGGGCCGACATGGTGGTTGGTTGTTGTTGTGATTGTTGATTAATCTGTGATTGAGATTGGGTATCTGGGTGATGGTATCCCTAGTAATCTGGTGATGGGTGTGCAATGAATTGAAAAGAAAATAGCTCTTGGGAAGCTTTCGGTGGTGATTTAAAGCTCTGGCTTTGGTATCATTGGGGAAGAGTGTGATGATGTCATCAGCCATTGATTGCCATGTTGTGTGTTGGTGCAACCACGACCATGCAGTGGCGGGTTCTCCAATGACGTTCCATGGTGGGGGCGAGATGGAAAAGAGCTGCTGCAACCGGAATTCGGGATTATCACCGAGAAATAGAGTGGCTGAGAATGCGATTTTGTTTGTAAAGGATTGCTCCTCG